TTGTCCTCATTTGTAAGTCGCTTTGGATAAAAGCGTCTGCTAAATGACTAAATGTAAATGTAAATAACAATAAGCACACAGATGTTATGCGTGTGCGAACTCGCATCCAACACAGTAGTATCAAGTCGAAGGGCTGGCAGCAGGCAAACACAAGGTGAGTATTCAGGCATGGGTCAGAGGCAGGCGGCGAGGATCAAAGTCTGTACTCAGGCTAGGGTTCAGGGCAGGCGGCAGGCAAGACAAGGTCGAGATACAGTCTAGCAGGCAAGGATGTGAAACGCTCAGTAGTGTTAGCCGGGGCAGAACAAGACTTCGCACTGAAGTGTGCGTGAGTGCTGCTTATGTGTGTGTGCCAGGTGATTATTAGATGTGCTGCAGGTGTGTGTGACAATCAGTCAATGAGGATGATGTAATGTGTTAGAAGTCCGGTGATGATGACCTCTGCTGGCCAGCGAGGGGAATGACTGGGACCGAGTCGGTGACACTGTGAGGCGACAGCACTACTTACTGCGCCACCTTGTCACCCAACTTCCATTATAATCACATTTATTGATTGATATTTAATTAATAATTGATTCCTTACATTTATATAGCACTTTTCTGGACACTCGCTGCACTCAATGGGGGAATCTCCTCCACCACCAGTGTGCAGCATCCACCTGGATGACGTAACAGCAGCCATATTATGCCAGACCACACAACACACACCAGCTTATTGGTGGAGAGGAGACCGAGTGATGAAGCCAGTTAAAATATGGGGATGGTTCGGAGGCCAGTGGGCAGATTTGGCCAGGATGCCAGGGTTAACCACAGAGAGCCTCGGTTTAACGTCTCCTGCGAAAGACGATGCTCACTGAGCAGTATAAAGTCCCTATCCTATAATATACTGGGGCATATATAACCTATAATATACTGGGGCATTAGGACCCACACAGAAAACAGGTTGAGCGCCCCCTGCTGGCCTCACTTACACAACTTCCAGCACAACCTAGCTTTCCCATGTGGTCTCCCATCCAGTTATACAGACCAGGCGCAGCCCTGCTTAGCTTCAGTGAGCGACCATGTGAGAGTTGCAGAGAGCTAACTGCCGGATTGTGAAGCCATGTCAGCATATAATCATGCATTCTTGATTGTTGCTGCTTTTCCCTGTTGGGATGTGTCATATTTACTGTTAATCAACAAAAAGCCATCAGACAAAAGCAGTCTAAACAAGTCACGTGCAAGAAAACTCTCCTCACACTGGTCAGAATTGCAGAATATGTTATTATTTTAATTTATGATGATGAGAAATGAGAGATTAAGGGCCCTATCATACACCCGGTGCAGTGTGGCGCAAGGCGCGGCGTAGTAGTCTTTTGGTAGTTTCAGCTTGGCGCAAGAGTGGTTTTGAGGCGTTGCGCTACGCTCTTTAAATAGCAAATGCATTAGCGCTCATTTGTGCGCTCATAGGCGTTCTGGTCTAAAAAGGAGGCGTTCTGAGGCGGACCGCTGGCGTGTTGCTATTTTGAGAAACTATAATAGATTTTTCATTAGACCAAAACTAACCCGGTCTAAACTCAGAGTTGCACCTCACTTACACACTGCTTAATACACACAAGAGAGCAATAGGCAAATATCTTTACATATGAAAAAATGTAAATATTAAGGATATATATAGGATATAATAAGAATAGATATAGAATATAAATATAAAGGATTAAAATATTACAAAACATATTATTTTCTAGCCGACATAAATATGAAAAATCACTGCTTTTATGTCTTCTTCATCTCGGGAGGCTTTTTCAGTTCATTCATGACTATTAGCTTTTGTGTAATGTTATTATTATTAGCAGTATTATTTATTATATCCATATTTATATTTGTTTTATTAAAAACAAGCTTAGATTTGTCCACCTGTCAGGTTTTAGACCATATGGGGCACAGCATGTGTTTTAGGATATAACTCAGGTTTTTGAACACACCTCATTATTATTGTTCATTTATTCGTTTGCTGGAAATTAGAACTGAATTTAGAAATAGTTTTGAATCTAATATTTGCGCTTAACAAACAAAATTAATTATTTATAGACTAATTGATGTCTGTGCGTAAAGGTTTCCCTATCCAAGAGCGAAAGTGAAAGTGATCCATTATCTCTCATTCTCACGCTCTAGAAGCTCTGTTTAACTGTTTGCTTGTGAAATGCTCAGTTTTTCCACTTAGACTTACTTTGCGTCCTGTAAATAGCGAATGCGCTCTTGGCGTGACGCAGCTGGCTCTTAAAGGGAATGGGAGATGAGACTCTGATTGGTTTATTCTCAAAACACACCTATAACTCATTAAGAGAATAAACTCAACCCTTTTAGACCATGCGGCACGGCGCAAGGCAGATTTTCCCGTCCTTAAATTAGCAAAACTGCATTCTGACATGCCCTGAAAGCGTTTGCGCCCTGCGTTTTGCGCTCTGCGCATGGACCGTCAAAATAGAGCCCTAAAAGTGAAAAGGTGCACTTTCCTTTTGAATGGTGACTCCCACTGATATCGACACCAAATATAAACTTCAGTTGTTATATATAAGCACACTTGGCACTAAAAAAGCAATCAGGATAATATTTATCTACACTGGTTTATTAGCTATAATTGCTCACGTTGTCTTCTGTGATGGTATTTGAGTTTTGTTTGATGCAGCAGTCATGAATGCATGATTATCTGCTGTCATGGCTTTACAATCAATAAATAAGATTATAATGGAAGTCAATGGAGCAAAAGCACACCAACATCACCAAAGGAGAGTCAATCTAAACAACACACAAGGGTTAAATTTGCACTTGCACAACACCCACCCAGACAATATATCCCTTTAAACTATTTAAAATGTTGATAAACGTCACTATTTACACCTTTTCAAGGTTATAAATTGTTGTAAGAAAGATCAAGATCTCATAATGCAATTCAAAGCAGAAATAAGCAGGCAGAAAGTAAAAGCATTAATCAAACACTGCTCATTTACAGATATTTCTACAGTACATCACAGACATGATGCTATAATGTCAGACCCATATCAAGCTCACGGTCATAATAATGAGCTTCAGATTCTGAAATCATTAAGAAAACTCGTAAAGCAGCTCTCATGTTTGACAGCAGAACAACCTGTTGCATGTGATTGTGGTAATCAAAAGCATTCTTGTGTTGAACGTGCTCCAAATGCGCTTAAACGTCTCCAGCGCTCGTCTTTGATAGTCATCTGTTGGAGATGAGATTCACACACCTCTTCCTCATGTTCCTCGTTTACCTCCTTTATGGATGTTATGGTAATGTGATATGCAGAACTCATCTGCGCTTCGTTAATTCACCACCTTAAAGACTGATTAGTTCATATCCTTCCTAATGTCACACTACTGTTCACTGTAAAACAGACAGCGGGGAAATAAGTCATCCCAAACACGTCACCATTCTTCTCAGAAAACATCTTTCTAGAGCTGCTGTTGACTTGAAATTTTCTCTGGATGTTGGTACCAACCAGAGAAATCCATGAATGCGAAGAAAACAAATCAAATTATTTTAGAAATGAAGTTCTGTGTGATAAAAATGAAACAGAATATAGATACTAATAAAACTGTAAAGTTTAGTGTGTATGATTAGAATATACACTCACCGGCCACTTTATTAGGTACACCTTACTAGTACTGGGTTGGACCCCTTTTGCCTTCAGAACTGCCTTAATCCTTCATGGCAGAGATTCAACAAGCTACTGGAAATATTCCTCAGAGATTTTGCTCCATATTGACATGATAGTTGGCTGCACATCCATGATGCCAATCTCCCGTTCCACCACATCCCAAAGCTGCTCTATTGGATTGAGCTCTGGTGACTGTGGAGGCCATTTGAGTACAGTGAACTCATCGTCATGTTCAAGAAACCAGTCTGAGATGATTGAGCTTTATGACATGCTGCGTTATCCTGCTGGAAGTAGCCATCAGAAGATGGAGACACTGTGCTCATAAAGGGATGGACATGGTCAGCAGCAATACTCAGGTAGGCTGTGGCGTTGATGCTCAATTGGTACTAATGGACCCAAAGAAAATCTCCCCCACACCATTACACCACCACCACCAGCCTGAACCGCTGATACAAGGCAGGATGATCCATGCTTTCATGTTGTTGAGGCCAAATTGTGAGCCGAGCATCTGAATGTGTCAGCAGAAATGGAGACTCATCAGAGCAGCAACGTTTCTCCAATCTTCTATTGTCCAGTTTTGGTGAGTCTGTGTGAATTGTAGCCTCAGTTTCCTGTTCTTAGCTGACAGGAGCGGCACCCGGTGTGCTCTTCTGCTGCTGTAGCCCATCCGCCTCAAGGTTGGACGTGTTGTGTGTTCAGAGATGCTCTTCTGCAGAGCTCGGTTGTAGCGAGTGCTTATTTGAGTTACTGTTGCCTTTCTATCAGCTGGAACCAGTCTGGCCATTCTCCTCTGACCTCTGGCCTCATCAACAAGGCATTTGCGCCCACAGAACTGCCGCTCACTTCATATTTCCTCTTTTTCTCTGTAAACCCTAGAGATGGTTGTGCGTGAAAATCCCAGTAGATCAGCAGTTTCTGAAATACTCAGAGCAGCCCGTCTGGCAGCAACAACCATGCCACGTTCAGAGTCTCTTAAATCCCCTTTCTTCCCCATTCTGATGCTTGCTTTGAACTGCAGCAGATCAGCTTGACCATGTCTACATATCTAAATGCAGTGAGCTGCTGCCATGTGATTGGCTGATTAGAAGTTTGCGTTAATGAGCAGTAGGAAAGGTGTACCTATTAAAGTGGCCGGTGAGTGTTGATAATAATAAAGGTGTAGTTTGGTGAGTGTGTGTGATCCGAACATAGATATTAATAAAAGTGTAAGGTTAAGTGTGTGTGATCAGAATGTAGACAGGAATGATAGTGTTATGTCTCTTTGTTTAATAGTGTGTATTGTACGGTATGCAGTTGTTAATTCCTCAGTATTTCTGATGTGCTGTTGTGTTTCTCCTGCAGCGTGTGTGAAGGAGGTTGAGCAGGTGTGTGAAAACTCCTCAGATGAACATCTACAGCCGTTCAAAGACAAGATGGAGACCTTCATCAGCACTGGTGAGTCTCAGAAAGGTTGTTATTTGAAAATGAAATGTGAAAGAGATATGCTTTAAAGGTGCAGTGTGTAAGATTGACACCCTGTGGTGGATCTAGGTATTGCACGCCTAGTTCAAAACACTTTTTCACCTGGCCCCTTCTCTATATAAAATAAAAAATAAAAACAAAACAAATAAGACTTTCTCCAGAAGAAAAAATATTCTAGGAAATACTGTGAAGAGGGCGTCATGGTGGCGCAGTGGGTAGCATGATCGCCTCACAGCAAGGTGGTCGCTGGTTCGAGCCTCGGCTGGGTCAGTTGGCGTTTCTGTGTGGAGTTTGTATTTTCTACCCGTGTTGGCGTGGGTTTCCCCTGGGTGCTCCCCCACATAGCCCCCGATTACAGCTCTACTCTAAGGGTCTTTGGTTATTGTCAGATAAACGCACACTTAAAGTAGTTCCGGCAGGTTTTGAGCGCATTACAGCTCCTTATTACTCCGCTGAATCATTACAAAAGCTACAGCAGTCAAATTGTCCGTAGTGTATGTGTATGAATGAGAGTGTGTGGGTGTTTCCCAGTGATGGGTTGCAGCAGGAAGGGCATGAGCTGCGAAAACATATGCTGCATAAGTCGGCGGTTCATTCCACTGTGGCGACCCCAGATTAATAAAGGGACTAAGCCGAAGAGAAAATGAATGAATACTGTCAACAGTTTCTTGCTCTGTTAAACATCATTTGGGAAATACTTGAAAAGGAAAGAATAATCACAGCAGGGTGAATAATGTTGAACTCTGTTTATATTGGGACCTGACCCAGACCCGACTGACCATTTCAAATGAAATACCCATTAAAAAGAAATGGATTAGCACAATCAGAATTTGGCTGAACATTGGACCCAAAATTGCAGTGTAATGTTTGTTTCTGTGCATGATACCTGCAGAAACACACACACACACACACACTCTCATCCAGAATGAAGCTGGTCAGGCTGTGGTGTGTCCGGATGGGGATCGGGTTGCCCTAAACCTCCGTCCTGAACTGTGTTGTGTTGTAAAGCTGGCAGGAGAACTTTGACTGTGTCCTCGTAAAGATCTGCCCTCCGCAGCAGGGATCATGCACAGACCACCAAACTGCATCTGACATTTATTTTTAGTTCCACCCAGATCACTTCATGACAGTTAAACGCTCTAAATAGTGTATTTAGTTTCTTGAATTTATTTTATATCATTATCTGGAGTGTATTTTATTAGTATTCAGTAATATTTGGTTTTTTAGATTACTGGAGTGTATATTTATGTCAGGGCGGCACGGTGGCTCACTCTGGCCTTACAGCAAGAAGGTCACTGGTTCGAGTCCTCGGCTGGGTCACTTGGTGTTTCTGTGTGGAGTTTGCATGTACTCCCCATGTTGGTGTGGGTTTCCTCCAAGTGCTCCGGTTTCCCCAACAATCCAAACACATGCGCTATAGGGGAACTGATCAACTAAACTGGTCATACTGTATGAGTGTGTGTGAATTAATGGGTGTTTCCCAGTACTGTGTTGCAGCTGGAAGAGCATCCACTGTTTAAAACATATTCATTCCACTGTGGCGACTTCTGAAATAGAGACTGACCCGAAGGAAAACGAATGAATATTCATGTGATATTTGCAATATTTGGGGAATTCAATTGGATTGCGTTGAACCCTCGTATTACAGATTTCCATAGTAAATATATAAATCTCAATTTAATTAATAAATGCTGACTCTTATGACTGGTTTTGGGATTTTTTAATAAAATGGAAAAAGGTTTGCTCACATTTTATGACCCTGAATCCTTAAACCAGTCATAAGGGTCAGTTTTTTCCTTATTGCATTAATATTTATACGTTTATTGTGAAAATGCAGTCTGAGGGAATAAAATAACCCAATTGGACTCCCAAAATATTGCGAACATCACATAAACGTGCATCTAAATTACTAATCTAATTTACACTGTACTGGGCTCCACACAGCTCCTTCATGTTGTCACAACACAAATCGATTAGGTTAACTTGAATGTTTTCACAAATGTAAGTGGATTAAACAAAACAAAATCAAGAACTTTGTTGAGCTCATTTTAAATAAGTAGTGTAAACAAGCAAACGTTAGCCTGAAGTGGCCCAGAGAAGATCTGAAAATGTGGCCCAGTTATCCTAAAACATATGTGGGCCACTTTTGGCAAATATTCGGCCCAGTTATCTCTGGCTAATGCTGCCGTTAGCCTAAAGTGGCCCAGAGAAGATATGGCAAAATGTGGCCCAGTTATCCTAATACATATGTGGACCACTTTTGGCAAATATTTGGCCCAGTTATCTCTGGCTAATGCAGCCGTTAGCCTAAAGTGGCCCAGAGAAGATCTGAAAATGTGGCCCAGTTATCCTAAATAATACGTTGGCCACTTTTGGCAAATATTCGGCCCAGTTATCTCTGGCTTATGCAGCCGTTAGCCTAAAGTGGCCCAGAGAAGATATGGCAAAATGTAGCCCAGTTATCCTAATACATATGTGGGCCACTTTTGGCAAATATTCGGCCCAGTTAGCTCTGGCTTATGCAGCCGTTAGCCTAAAGTGGCCCAGAGAAGATATGGCAAAATGTAGCCCAGTTATCCTAAAACATATGTGGGCCACTTTTGGCAAATATTCGGCCCAGTTAGCTCTGGCTAATTCTGTCATCCTAAAGCGGCCCAGAGGAGATATGGCAAATGTGGACCAGTTACCTTTAAACTTATGTGGGCCACATAGACTAAAGTCACCATCATGGAGAAAAGTGTTTGCTTTAGTTGGGCTTTTAGCCCTGAATCTCTTAATATAAATGTTCTTTTGAGCTGCTGTTACCTTTAAGAAGTTTGCTTGAAAAGTGTATTTATTACAGCAAACAAGACAAGTAAAAAAACAACGAAATGAAGTGAGGCACAACCTGTGATGAAATAATATAACTCACTGATGTTCACCAATGTTTAATCTATTATTAGAAGTACTGTAATAACATGCTTGCACATGCCCAGGGCCGGATTAACCAATGGGCCTTATGGGCACAGGCCCAGGGGCCCGTGCGCACTAGGGGCCCCTGCGAGGGGGGAGAAAAAAAAAAGACAATTTCGGAGTGTCTGTTTAGGCTAATTGCAAATAGCGCATCTAGTTGGAATAAGCTATTCAGGGTTTATGCCCATCGATGCCTGATTGATAGAGACAACAGGAGTAAAGAGCTGTTTAGCATTACAACCTCAGTGGTGCACCTCGTATAGCGCACAGCATTATCTTTTGACGCGATTGATCGGTTCGAATCCACCATCAGTGGATCCATCCAACTCGTGCTACTTTTTTTTCTCCCCGTTACATATCAGTATGAAAATATATTTATTTTTAACAGGAAGGAAACATTTTTTAAAAATAATGCAAATGTGATATAAAGTCACAAGTGTCTCGTGGGTATTTAATAATGTTTAGCCTTATTATAGGCGCCTCCTTCTCTGCAAAAACTATATTGCTCAGACACCTGTATTTCCTCTGAGCAAAAAAATCGCGATCACATATTATTGTTATATTTAAACTGCCTTTTTTCGTTAACTAAACAGAATGCTGTAATTGGTCAAGCGTGGAAACGTCAGTTTTATAATAACCTGCACTAAACTGAGCGGACTGTAGTGTAACGTTATATCTGTCATAGATCAAAAATGAGTGGACAAGTGGATTTAGCAAACGCGACAGAAAGAGGAGAGGAGGCATCTTTATTGAGGCATTTTCCATACACACCTTCTTTAAACAGACCCATGATCAGGAGAATGAGGGTACAGAAGAAGACGTTATGGTAACTTTAAATGATGAGTAGCTAGCATTAACCAGACGGAGGAGGCTAACGGCAGCGCAGCGCGGACTGGATTCATCGTGTGAGAGACACAGAAAAGGAGAGAGAGAGAGAGAGAGAGAGAGAGAGAGAAAGGCCCAGAAGAGCAGAGAGAGGGGAGAGAAGAGGTATAGTGTGTGTGATTTCGGATACTTTTAGGTTTATAATCAAGTCTTCATCACGAGAAGAGTAGAGAAAATACAGGGAGAGGAGGAGAGAGACAGTAAATCAGTGTTTGTATTATGAAAGACTCAGATTCATAGAACTGGATTGGAGAAGCATTGTGCGTTATATGCCATGGCAATAATATGCTTTATAAGTTTGTAAAAGCAATACATTAAAATACCCTTTTAAAAAAAAAAAAAAAAATTATATATATATGTAGTTTTATTAGTATTTTTATTTAATGCTTTGAAAAATAATTTAAATCTTTGCAGACTATAAATACATATGTACTATATATCATTTATTTAAATATGTGGGCAACAAATTATAGATTCATTTTATTTAAAAATTATTATATTATTCTTATTTTTTAAATTCAACTATAGGGGTGCGGCCAGGTAGGGGGCCTTACAAGACAATGTGCCCAGGGGCCCCTGAGTTCTTAATCCGAGCCTGCACATGCCACACAATTATGGAGGTTTATAAGCTAATAACATGCTATGGTTCAGTGTCTGCTCACAGAGACATCAATATTCAGCGTATGAACCTCAACACTGGCGACAAATAACAACATGAACAAAACTCACAAACAAGAGACTGAACGTGACAAAATCAACAACACCAACATGAACAGCAGAATCAACAGCAGATCATGAAAACCGCAGCATCAATCAGCTGCAGAATGTAGTCATGCTGCAATGCATGCTGGGATTTTTGTACTCTGCCACACCCAGTGTAGGGTGTAGATCTGGGCCGAAATAAAAGAAAACTGTGGCCCAGAATAGGGTCAGTTCTGGTTTACTTGGTTGAATTCTGGCTAATATGTGGTTTTGCTTTGGCTTAATTGTGGCCCAGATCTGGCAAACAGGAGCGGACCGCCCTAGAGCTATCATTCCATGTGGTATGTGGTCCAGATGTAAGTGTCTGGTGTGGGCCGGATCTGGGCCAGAATAAAAGCAAACTGTGGCCCAGAATAGGGTCAGTTCTGGTTCATTTCTTTGAATTCTGGCTGATATGTGGTATTGCTTTGGCTTAATTATGGCCCAGATCTGGCAAACGGGACCG